CTTCTCGCAGATTGTAAAGATAGTATTGAGGTGTCACTAGGATAATTGTCGTCCTTAAAGATCAATGGTATCAATCACCAGCCTATGATGTATATATATATATATATAGTACCCACAATGTAAGTTAAACGAAGCTTTGTCTATGAAGAAACAATAAACGCCAGATAAAAGATAAGGGAGCCAATGCGTTTATCTATTTTATTCGTCACGTTATCGGTCCTATTTGTACAATCGTAGCAGCGTATTCGAAGAGCGTGGTTTGCAGTCTACGTAACACGCGCATTTGTCGATATCGTGACTACATTCACAGAGCTTGTCCCGCATACGCCTATTTCTAATTGCGGCGAACAGTTTGTCATATACGGCACGGATTTCCGTGTCGATCGTGCCAAACCCCTCTGGTAGTTATATTAAAATATATACCGTTTTGCGGCTCGAGAATTATACCATCGTCAATCGTGCTCGATGTTGTACCATCGATGTTATAACAAAATCGTGCAAATCTGTGCAACAGAGCACAACGGCTGCACCACACAAGTAAGACCCGATCTAATCAATAGATTGGAGTTAACTTTAATTAAACGTACCACATCTGCTTTAAGATATAGAGGAAAGTCCCCTATTATGAGATATGCCCCTAATATGAGATAGCGGATTTTCTACTAAATTAACGGGCACCATCTGTTGGTTCCACCATGAATTTATTGCCCTTGGAGTAAAATCCGTTTAGCGGAAACTTGATTGTTAGATCGTGTAATCGTAACGTAAAAGAGATTTGCCATTGAATTTGGACGTTGAAAACTTGCTATCTCGTATTAAAATCCTATCTCACTTAATAGAGGACTTTCCTCTAGATTAGAAATAACGTTTTATCCTATTTTAATGCACATTATATATTTCTAATCTCCCAGCCAAGTTTCCTTCTGGGATCGTACAATAAATACTTGTTTATATATTTTTGTCTTCTTCCTTGTCGAGAATCGCTTGACTCTCCTACATTTATCGTTACTTTTTATGAGTGTAAGCGTTATATCTCGTTGAGATTGAAGTTTACCATAGACTACTATTTTCCAAATGACCTATTTTACGATCCCGCACGTTCTGCAGCGAACCGTGAAAACACATCATTCCTATTTCCCCGTTTATCGCATCGCGAAAAGTTTGTTTAACAAATATAAATTGTGCAAATCTATCAAGCAAGCATTTTAGAATTCTCAAATTGTAAATGAAGTGGTGTAATTTGTAAATAAAACGTTTTATACAGCAAAAACCCACTCTCAATTAAGAGACGTAATCACGAGAGAGAGATGTGCGGCGCGCACGCTTCACAAGTTTACAAAGGTTTAACAAGTACGGGCAGAATTGCGGCGCGCATTCCGCGAAATCCGCTGGTACATGCAGAAACGCACGCGTGAATCTGCATTCGTGCGTGTATTGTATCGTGCGGGAAAGAAAAGGAGGGAGGCGGCAGGTGCCTTAGTGTTTTCAATTTCCTGCTTTTCGGGGGCGACTACAATGATGACGCCGAGCAGACGTTGCGGCACGTCCTTCATCGCCGTGCGACTACGTGACGAAAATGACGATATCGCCTCGTAAATTTTGTTACGTGTCGCAAAAAGCCGAGGATCTCCCGGCCGCGGATAACCGTCTCTTCGGCCATCCGCGCGCGAACGACCGCGCGACACTCAGCGGGAAAGACGTATCGCTTCGCTGCAAAATTGAATATGTCACACTTCTCAAATCCTTATCCTTTATCTCACCGTCGGAAACGCCGACGTCCTGACTCCCGCCCTCGTTTCCGCCGCCAACGACGGTGGCAACGACGACGACGGCGACGACGGCGACGACGGCGACGATGGCGACGACGCGACATTCTCTCTCGTCCACTGCTTCTGATCAGAATTACGTGCGGAAGTTCAACAAAAATACATAAAACAAATAAATTAGATGCGTTTTTAAAACATTAAATATATGGAATTAATCAAAAAGTTTATTTACGTTTTCCTTCAACTAATGATTAATATAAAAGTACAAGATATAAAAAGGGGAAATAACAAGCAATATTTTAAAGAAAGGAGAAGAAAGAAAAGAAAGACAGAAAGTGGAAAAGGTAAGAAATTCGTAAAAAAGGGAAAACATCATGACCAAAGAAAATTCGATACAAAGGAGGGGAAAAATTAAGTCAAGTTGTGACTGAGAAGGGAACCAGTGACGAAGGTCACAAAGTGTTACGCCGATAAATACCGAAGATCTGGCCATTCAGTATGTGAATTACGGCTGGAAAAAATGCTCGACCCATCTCCAACAGACAAAGGGAGAAGGACTAATTAAAGAAAATACTATTTTCTTTTAAACCTAACCTTCGTGTATACGTTTCTTTCTTTTGAGCTTTAAAATTTCACGCGAAACCTTTTGTACCAAAAAAAATTTTTCAGGCTGTCTTGGTCGTTTGAGGAAAAGAAAACTAATCATAAAAGTGAATTATCTCACTGCCCGGCTGTCTTCTTTTTATTTATTTCTTACAATATTATATGTATATGTATAAGGAGGATGGTTGCTCAAATAAAAATGATAAAAATGAATTTAAATTTATAGAAAAAATATATAATGTTGGCCATGTGTAATAGTATAACTTTAATAATTAATTATTCAACAATTTTCGACATTATTCGACACCATGCAGACAATCGTCTTGAACTTTCGCATGGAGGACAGATTCCCATAGACGAATATTTTCTATAAATTTGAATTTATTTTTATCGCTTTTATTTCAGCAACTACTCTCCTTAAACTTGGACCTTTTAAAATATTCCGTGGGATCTTTATTTCTGCTGATACACACATTTTTTCAGATTATAATAGCAAAGATAATTGTAGAACAATTGTAACTGTTTAGCAATGTCGTTGGTCTTTAATATGGTCGGACGCAACACGAGTAAATGGTTGACTCCATCCGATTAGTACTGACGCTAATTGCTTTCTAATTGAACTGAAATCTTAGTCGGTGAATCTATGTAGAGCAAATCTTTGGATGATATAGTTATTTGTTAAACTGATGTACCAGGAAGATATTAAATTATAGGGGAGAGTGGGGCACAGTGTCACGGGGCACTGTGAGTCACATCAGATTTATCGATGTGATGAAAGTTATTGATGCAAGTAAGTAATGAAATTTTTTGTGGTTAGGCTATGAGTTCATTGAACTTTGAGGCCGAAAGAAACTTAGATGACAGTTCGTTAATAATACTAAAAATGATAATAGGTGTGCGTGTTCGTGTTACAATTATTGAAAATTTTTGTGTATGTAAATTTTGTGTATGTTACAATACACAAATTCAATAATTGGAACACTATTACAACAACATGTTCCTGAGACCAAATTAAATTAAAAAGTCATGTACTATTAGAAAGAGTTTGTTTTTAACAACCGTGATGTTGCAACAACCAACGTTGCAACACTCATTTCACAGGTGCACCAATTGTCTTATCAATAATTGCAGTTGTCGATAGGATAATTTAGCATGCCCATGTGCATTTTTAAAGTTTCTACATTTCAGAATGTGACACCTTATATATGCACTTTTGCCCACACTAATGATGGCAACGTGGCTTCACTACCAAGGTCTCAGTTAACGATCTAGTATAATATATAGAAGTCTGTGACAAGTAATATCTTGATAGCATAGGTTTTTGGTCCTAATTGACAGTTACCTACAATAATTATTTACCCGTACGTCACTCACAATCAGTGCCCATGTTTCCTTATTTTTAGTTAGAATATAATTTTGTTTCTCACGTCAGTTACACATACAGGAAGAAGAAAATGGCACGAATAGATAATAAAAAATATTAAGCAATATTATAAAGATATTATAGCAGATATTAAAAGTTATTTATAAAAATAAAACTAGTTCCTGATTCATCCTGCTTCACGTTTTGCTTCACTTGGCTCATTGTGTCCACCTATATGACACATTGTACCCCACCGGTGGGCTACACTGTGCCATTTCGCGATTTTTGTTCAACCGATTTACTTAAATATCGTTGATCTTTTTGCAGTAACGATTGCAGCTTTATTGTATACCCGAAGATCCATAGAAATCGAATATGAATGGTAGTTTTTCATTATAATATTCTGGTAAGAGTTCCAATTTATTGGAAAATAAAGTGACACATTGTCCCCCCACTCCCCCCTACCATACACAAGTGCGATATATCCATTAGGCAACTAGATAATATGAAGTTATTGTACAAGAACAAAAATTATTCAATAATTCGCCAATTACGGGATTATAAATTACGCGTGAATTATGATTGGATTTTCAATGATAATAATATTTTGCTAATAAATTATTTACCATTGTAATTATTATACCATTGTAATAATAAAATTATATAACATAGTAAGAAAGAAAGAAAGATAATTATTGGTTGTGATTAAAATCGAATACTTTTATCGATTTTATCGCTTGCTAACTGATACGTAACTTATCGCTTTATCATCATTTTTATGTAATGCAATTCTTATATAACTTAGAATATAAAAATAGATGTTTTATTACTTTGTATCAGTTCTTTAATAAATGTTTAATTTATGTCTGATTAACATTATTAATAACAAATATATTTTTAAAATTTAATCAAATATTTGTATTTGCTTGTAATATGCTCAAATACGTTAAAATTAAATATTATTTTGCGTATGTTATCTCAAGTGCAGCTGTTCTTGAAACAAAATCGTTAATAAAATCGTAAACATCCATAATTAGATCATCAATTTATTTCATTATTTAATTACAGATAAACGTGTCTAATAACACCAAATTAAAAATTACTACAGCCCTGTACTTCAAACGCAGTGGCAAGTAAGTACTACAACTTTTATTTCCCTAAAAGAAATATTGTTTTCTAAGTTAAGAGAATGTGCATTACTTAAAATGTTGATACTGATACATAAGTCACCGACTTATCAGGAACATCGCTGTCTTTCAAGCAGCGCGTACGACTGACACGGCCAATATTACGAACCAGCTGTTTAAGCTGTTCTTCAGTCATCCTTGTAACGTTACGATACGAACAAGTAATGTTTCTGCACTAGGATAGCGCTATTCTGATCGATACTCAGGTACGAAAATAGATGTGTATAAAAGCAAGAAAAAAAGATAACTCTAGCGAATTGTGATATACGATTCTTCTCCGCAGATCAACCCTTTTTTGCCATTATCCTTCTTTAGATATCAAGTTTAACGACATTGTATTGTGCATATATCGTGACGATTGTGTAACAGTTGGAGCCTATTGTTAATCTTTCAAAGTTTACAATTTGAATTCACAATGTGACTCGAAATTTTATAACTCTCTTGTGTATAATATAACTAACGTAAATAATTAAAGAAAAAACAATTAGTCGTACAGAAATTGTCAGCTAAATAAAAGCAGATATAAAGAAGGATGTAAAAAATATCGATTGTATATCAATATATTTCTCGATTTTCTATAATGATCAAAATAAAATTAATTTACCATTGACGGTATTCATTGTCAGTATAATAATATAATAGTAGTAACACTAGATACAATATTAATATAATCGAAAAATTATGTATATATTGATATTACAAAAGTTTCAAATATTTGACACATCTCCAATATTGGTATTATTAAAGATTTTTAATATTGCCGAGCGATACGTATACGCGATATCGATATACGATATACAATTAATAGTAAAATTTGGATGTTATTTCTTCACTAGATATAGAGAGCTATAAAGGCAAAAACTAAAAGGCAATACTGTTATATAAGTAACACGAATGGACGTTAAAAACATGATAATAAATTATCAATTAAATAACACGCTACAAGAGTAACAGATAAATTAATTCCAGATAATGTACTGTGTTGCCGGTTTTTATGCACTGGTAGCTGTTACTGCAAATGTTAACTTCGTCAGTTAACTAAATGTACAATCTCTATATTAATTCGATTATAGTATTTTTATCACAAGAGTTCCATTTAACACTATATTACGCGTTTGCAGATTAAGAAGTGTTCCTCGTCATAACTCAAGATGCTGCGCTCACTAATTCTGATCGTCGTCTTAGTCGCAGTGAAAGGTAACAACTAAAGACCGAATGTTTGACAACGTTTGGCTTTACTTTACTTTTGCATACGGAAAATCCTTAAAACTTTTTGTTGCCAGTGAAACAATTTCCAAGTAAATGAGACATTATATTCTATTTATAATAGATAAATGTCTTATTGTCTCAGGATATGTATTATAACTCCTATTTCTAATATTTCTTTTAATATTAATAAATACTTAAAATTATTTACTAGTTACAAACTAATTAAGTTCATTATTCCGATTATTTAAAATAGAGAATATACGATACTGCTATAAGAAAAAATGATAAGACAATAATACAAAAGTTTTTGTAGTTTGTTTCTTAGAAATTTTTGCATATTTCACCTATTGTACGCATTACATATTAATTCTGCACTAATTACGATTATTATGATACATTATTTTACATAACTGGGTCTATTTCTGTTGCTTTGCAGTGCTTTGTAGCGTCTCTATTTTGAAAGTAATATAAGCCTAGTTTTGCACTATCATGAATTTCGACGAAATGTCAACGGCAAATGCAAATTGCGCTGATATATTAATTTCAGCAAAATTTTTAAAACTGCATACTTATATATACTTATATAATATTTTAAAGATAAACGGTTTCCTTAGATCTGTGCGACTTGTTCACATAATCAGCGCAATTCAAACTTACTGAAATGGGCAAATTAAATTTCACGGTATGGTTTAAGACGGGAGGGGGGGGGGAGAGAAAGGTTTAATATTTTTTCTATAAAATCTCTAATATTTTTAGAAAGATTTTTGTACCGTGTCAGTTTAAAATGTATGCATGGTAATTTAAGTGTGTCGTTACGTACATGCAGTTAAAGTTTTCTGCACCGTAGGGGACGAGTGTGTACCACGTTCATTCGGAGCGGATTCTATCGTATGCGTCTGTAACTCGACGTATTGCGATACGATAACCGAGCCAAACTTACAACAGGACCAGTTTTCGTGGTACATATCTACTATGGATGGCAAAAGGATGCAGTTGTCCGTCAATAACTTCTCCGACAGCAATGAGACCGAGAACGATATAGTTCTCACAGTAAACAGTGCTAATACGTATCAAACGATACAAGGATTTGGCGGGGCAATGACCGACGCCGCCGCTCTCAACATTAGAACTCTCAGTAATGAGACTCAACACAAACTACTTGAGTATGTAATCGTTATTTTTAGAAGCGCAACAATATTATTAGCAAAAATCGAGGGAACGAAATAAATCTTCGTGCGATGCAACAAATTTTAACAATTTTTAATATTCTTCTGCATTGTTGTTTTTCATGAAGAACAACAGTGATTATGCACAGTAATTGTACACTATCAGTGTAATTATCGTGACGACAACAATCGATAAAAATTTACCTCGTGTTGCTCTGATTATTCTTCTCCTCGATCTTTTTGTTGTTTTTTTTAAGAGACTTTCTTTCTCTTTTATTATCAAGATATTTTAAAATGTTCGAACGATTCAAGTAATATGAAATCCCGTTAGAATACATTAGTAAGTTCTAGTTCGTAAATTCTAATAGGCGAAGCAAAAGTTTTTCCAATTAGCTGTTAATCATATATTAATTAACATAATATAATTCAACAAGCGGTTACGGAATAACTTTCCAGAAAAAAAGTATATTAATGCTGCTCTGGAATAAAAGCAGAATTTCATTACCCCTTCTGCTGATAAAATGGAAACGAATTAGGACCATAAATTACAAATTTTTTTAACGCAAGATAAATATTTCTACGGTATTAAAATCGAGCAAAATGTGTTAACTGCTATTGGAACATGAAACGTAGCAACTATTCGGGTAAAATGGTTTAACAATGCATCGGGTTTCATAAAATTGCCGCAAATTTGTCTACCGGGATTTAATCCGTCTCGCACGATAGCCGCTCACACAGTTATTTCCAGATCGTATTTTGGCCGAGGTTCTACTGGTATCGGATACACGTTTGTTCGCATACCTATCGCAGGTACCGATTTCTCGACAAGACCGTATACGTACGACGACGTAGCTGGCGATCTTACTTTAAGTCATTTCAATCTGGTGGAGGAAGATGACTACAAAATCGGATATCTGCACGATATCAAGAAAATTATGTCTAATCCGGAGACTCTCAGAATATTTACGACTTCGTGGACTGCTCCCGCGTGGATGAAAACCACAGATAGTATAACATGGGGTGAGATATTTGGTGAGACAGGATTTCCATAACATATCCTGCACAATCAGAAAAAACTTGCACGGGAAAAGGGTATTTGTTATACGACTACATTAATTTTTAAAAATTTATGAAAACCTATTTTTATTGAAATTTCGCGAAAGTTAATTACCAGTTACCAGGGGTAAAATGTAAAATAGACCGGTGCGGGATGAAATGCAGCAGGAAATAAATCATCTGATTAATTGGAAATCGAAACTTTACATTATTTACAAAGTATTTTTAACGAAAGCAAATACTGATTTAACATTTAAGTGCACAAAAGTTTACAATGCTTTACTTCTTAAGAATATAATATCGTAATGAGCAGTTATTACACGTATGTAGATATACGTGCACTTTTGTAAATAATTATAAAAAATTGAAGTGGCATACTTAATAAGATATACATATAAGAATAGATACTAGAACAAAATTCATATATTCCTACGAATGGGGCCATTTCTATAAATGGCACAAAAATTAAAGCTTTATCTTATCTTTCTTGAATTCGAAAGAAACAAAAAGTAACAGGTTTATCTCATTCAACGGTCCGTTTTACTCTTCGCCCTCTATAAATATAATAACATCTCTTTATAAAATCAATTTTCATTAAAATTCTATTATTCACTTTTCGTAATATTAAATTATTTCAAAAAGTTGATGTCTACCTTCAAAATGTTTGTAAATTATTACATTTCGTTTTTAATGTTAATCAAGTATGGTGAGGTGCTTCGATAATTAAATATGAAATGCCGTAATGCATGATAATCTCAACAGGTACCCTAAAACCTGAATATTATGGACTTTATGCCGAGTATATCAAAAAGTTCTTTGACGCGTACAAAGAGCGTGGTATAGATATATGGGGTATGACACCAGGTAACGAACCGGTAAATGGATTTATTCCATTCTTCACTTTCAATGCCATGGGCTGGGGGCCTACCGAAGCTGCGAATTGGTCCACAGAGTTTTTAGCTCCGACTTTGTCGGCTGCCGGATATAATCTTGTTTACATGGCGTTGGACGATCAACGTTTTCAAATACCATGGTATATCGAAGCCATGTTTAAGAATAAAAAAGCCGAGAAATTGTTCTCTGGTACCGCATACCATTGGTATACTAATACACTCTTTTCACCAATGAGACTGTCCCAACTGCACGACATGTATCCGGGCAAGTTTATATTGATGAGTGAAGCATGTACCGGTAAGGATATTTAATTAAAGAATACAGTAGCTGATATAATAGCAGTGGTTTTCCTCAAAAACTTGAAAAAAGAAATTTGTATAATTTTCGTTTTATAGGTAGCAGTCCCTTCGAAAAAGAAAAAGTAATTCTGGGATCATGGGAACGAGGAGAAAAATACGTTTTGGATATAATCCAGGTTTGTATATATTAACGTATAACTCTAACCACAATTTGTGTTTCAAACAAACAAAGTGTTTATACCGTTCTGAATTTTATCTGACACAAGAAAAATTTCCGATTAAGTTACAAGTTTTAATGTCTCGCGTATTATTGTCGACTTAGCCGTCAAATAAACATCTGCCGAATATAATTAATTCTTAATAAATGACAAAAACTTTTGCGAGCACTGGAATTGAATTTACACTACATAGGGAGTTAATCGTTTTTCTCTATTAAAAAATGTTGCTATAGCGCAAGGTAGTTTCATGTGCAAAGATAAAAGTAAATCATACATATATAATACATGTTAACATACTTTTTGAATTGTATATTGTACAAATTGTACAAAACACAAAAATTGTCTTTTGAAATTTGTAAATAAATTTATAGAACATGTTACATTGGGTGACTGGATGGATAGATTGGAATATGGCACTCGACGAGAAAGGGGCACCAAATTGGGCTCAAAATTTTGTGGATTCACCGATTATTGTAATGGCGAAGAACGACGAGTTCTACAAACAACCCATGTTTTACGCGATGTCTCACTTCAGCAAATTTGTACCACGTGATTCTTACAGAATCTCATCTACAGGTCTTGAAGACAATGAAGATATTAATGCGGTAGCTTTCTTGACGCCCAAACAAGAGATTGTTATCGTAGCTAATAACAAGTTAGTAGAAAATATATTTATCTTACTAATACGGTAATTACATTACGAAAAAATTTTTTAGAGAAATGTATAAGTATCTTCTATTGCCTAACAAAATTTCTTAATTCCTTTTTTAAGTATTTTACTTTATCTTACTGTATTTTTATAATCTGTTAGACTTAAAACATATAATTCGAAATTTTCTGTTGCAGAGCTTCTTCTCCTATCGCCATAACAGTAAAAGATGAGACTACAGACGACAAAATGAATTTAAACCTACCTGCCAAATCTTTCAATACTATATTATATTTAGCGCAGCAATAATGCAGAAAGTTTCCAAATTATAAATAAAAGATGTCTACAAAGTTCCCCTTCTTCATAGAAAAGAAAATATAGTCTCACACTGTGTGAAGTTTTGACAAAGAAAACTGGATTGTTTGTTAATCAAAATTATACATAGATATTATAATACAATCAACAATTGTTTTTCACAATTGATGTATTTGTATACTCGGCATGATAATTATATGTATTTCTAATTATGGGTAGTACATTCTCGCCCATCGTCCTATTTTTCTCTTTTTGGGATTCTCTCGTAAACGTCTCGGTATATAGGGTGGTTTATGATCGTCTAATCTACGTTTGAACATATTAATGCCGAATTGCCAAGGTTCTCGTTTCTTATCTATCGGACGAGTTTTAAATTTAATAAGATAGATTCTTTGCCAATCGTATATTTCCGGTACCAGTCTGTAAAAAAAAAGATTACAAATTAATACATATACATGTTTCTTTATCATAAATATCTGTTTGTTTGCATTAAAAGCACAGTAATAAATATATTTTAAAATAATTGTCAAAGTTATCCCACCTATGCCTCGGCCTGTTGTTTACGAGATGCTTATACTGTTTTTCGAGCCAATTTCTTCTTTCATCATGTTCTATGTCGGCTATTACTTTCACGGATTCCCCTAAATACGGTTTCAAGTTTACGCCTACCCTTTCCTCGGGAATATTCATGTAAAACTTAATTAAAGTTTTCAGAACTTCTTCATTTAAACCGTGAACTTTCTCGCCTTCTATTTTATCAAATAATTTTATCGGCTCTGTTGTCCAACATATGTTGCGCTTCGGATTTTCATCCGCGTACCGCGAATGCACTAAAGTGGTATTGAGTTGGTAAACAAAAAATGACCACCATTGTCCATTTGTTATAACCGTTTGCGTGGTTAATGGATACGTAATATCGTTAAAAGTAGAGAAACCTGAAATTTCATAGGTACACGCGTAAAAAGTTGGAATTCCAATTAACATCTAAACAGCACTTTTTAACTATAAAAGTACCTTGATAACAGGCTTGCGATAATAGCCAGCTGTAAGATGCTAATATAGCCTGTACCGTGAGTGCAGTAGAAGTGTCATTATATGTTTCTGGCCTTGTTTGCAAGTATGTGCAATTGTGATACGACAAAAGTCCAAATTCATTTTCATCGCCAGGCCAAAATCCGGGTATATTAGTTAAATGTTTTCTGTCCAAAGTATAAGTCAATACTTCGGGGTCCATTTTGAATGTAGGTACGTCTAAATCTGGATTTTCACAATCGCTCAAGGGAATGATTTCTCTCAGAGGATGCCTATACCTTAGGTGCATGACAGGCTGACCAGTATAATAAACAGGCAAATCTATGGGCTCGTCAACATGTTCCTTTAGAAAGTCACGGGACTTTCTGAATCTCCTTCTATACTCAGGGGGATCTATACCACCCATAAACCAAGATGCTTCCAATCTTGGCTCGTAGTCAACTTCAGTGTGCAACAAGTGCTGATTTTCCGGGGCAAGATGTATTAGCATTGTTCTATTAATTCTGTGAACCAACGCTTTAGATATAATTTCTTCCATGTTTATTTTTCTGTCGAAAGCCTTAATGTGTTCGTCCAATGGAAATTTGTCCGGTTTCATTTCATGTTCCCTTCTGCAATATTATAACATACTAGCGTAATTAAAAAAGCTTTCAGATTTAAATAATTTTAATATACAATAATGCGAATAATCAGATAATAATTCTCCCTGGTATTACGCATAAATAGAAGAATCCTTGATTCGCAAAAGTATCTACCTTCTCATGCAATATTCAAAAATTATATTATCCTCTACGTCACTCTTGATCGCTTGTACCATTCTATCCAATTGCTCGCTGGAAATTATATTATTGTAATACGCCGGAAGACCGGATTCCTTGACGACGTGTGTCCTCGTACAATACTGTGCGTGCGACAAAGCGTCGTATGGTATAACATGTTCATTTAGCATCAGCGCTGTCCAGCCATAATAACGTGGCATGTTGAACTCGAATAGCTTCTCTTCCACGGTTTCCAGGCCCTTGATCTTGTCATGCCAAGACGCTCTCTTTCTCCTCCACTTGGTTTTCCAGCTTAGGTCTTCAATAGGCGGATACATCGGCTCCGCCGATTCTTCGGCTTTGCTCCTGACCTCGCTAACAGCTGACGTGCTGTATCTCTTCTGTTTGCCATACTTGACTACTGTATTAAATACTAGCCTCTTTCGAATATGAGCGAACATACTTATAAGCCGAAGCAATATTCCTCAAAAACGGTTTGTTCCTCCAAATGTTTTAACACGTGTGCATCTAGAAACGAACCTTACAGACACGTTGCCCAATTGCTCAACTGCAATGCAGTAAACTAAGCAGTAAACATCGTTCTAACTTAAAAAATATTCACGCTACAAAAAAATATAAATCAATGTCGATTACTGTTAGCTTTTATTATACGTACACATCAATCATCGGCTCGTGCAGGTTACGTTGCGTCCCGCAATTTCACATCGATTTGTCGTTTCGAGGGCGTCTCTGACGTAAAAGAAAATAACGATGAAACGCAGCCAGCAACGATTAACTACGATTTCACGAAATTTCTTTTAGAATTTCAGTCCTGAACACACTACAGTCGCCGAAAAATTGGGGTTATGAAACACGAGCGAAGCACGAGCTGGCACAACTGGCACAAGAGCGAAGCACAGTATAAACAGAGAGAAGCCTGAGAGATGTCACGGCCCCGTTTTTCGTGATTGGCTAGAGATCCTCAAGTAAGAGATGCGCAAACCTTGAACGCGACGGGATTGGTTCTGGCCACGGTCTTACA